TCCTCTTCTCCACCACTTCTCTTTTTCTTTTCTTTGAGGCTTTTACTCTGGTTCATTCTGTGATTTTTAGTTTCTGGTTTGGGCTGATAGGAATAAGGAGGGGCAGGAACAAGAGCCCAGTGGTCACTCTCAAGGCTGCAGCCACTCCTGGGACGGTTCTTTAGAGCCCCCCTCCCCTTCCTCCCATGTCTCCACCGGTGTTGTCCCTCCTATTCTGCTGGACCAGGTGGGAAATAGGACTGCAGCCAGGCAAACCACACAGCTACGGCCCTTCCCCAAAGCCCTGCTGGGTGTCATGGTCCCTGGGGTGGGTGCCCTGGCAGGGCGATTCTGAAGAGGCCTCCCCTGCTCCAGGGCCAGGCTAAAAGGCAGGGGACCTTCCAGGGCAGCTGGTTTTGCCCACACGCATCAGGGCTGCCAGGTTGGGGCCCTGGCCACAGCACTTGGAGGGAAGTCACATCTCTCTCTCTTTAGGCCACAGCACTTGGGGCCTTTGGAAACTTAGCTGGTCAACCAAGAAAAAGGGGGACCCGGGGAACGTCCTAGGCCTCAGCAAGTAAGGGTTCAGACTCAGAACAGCAGCGACACCGACGCAGGTGTTGCCAGCAGGTGGCGCCACGCTCCCGGACAGCCGCTGCCTTCCGGCGGGACCAGCGAGTCCGCCAAGAGCTCCTCCTTCCAACGGAGGCCCCAAACGTAGGTTTTATCGTCATTCAGGTTTGGTGAAGCCAGCAGATCAGGGAGCCATGGATCAGGAGGATCCAGGAGGCCCTGGATGAGACAGGCCGTCCTGCATCGTTTGCAAGAGCCGGGGCGGGCCACCAGGGCCACACGCAGAAGCTGGGCAGGTTCAAGAGCAGGGCTGTGAGCGCGGAGCAGGGCAGGAGCCTTTATTGTGGTTTCCAGGAAGGAACGGGTGAGGCATGGTCGGCAGGCTTAGGATTCGTTAGTTTTAACAATTTTTTAAAAAACATTTGTATTTGTTTCTTTTTGGCTGCCCTGGGTCTTCCTTCCTTCTTCTCACTAGTTGCAGCGAGCAGGGGCTACGCTTCCCTGTGGGGTGAGGGCTTCCCGTTGCGGTGACTTCTCCCGTTGCCGAGCGCGGGCTCGAGGCGTGCTCGCGTCAGTAGTCGGGGCTCCTGGGCTTTGGAGCACAGGCTCAGTAGCTGTGTACCGGGACTTGGTTGCTCTGAGGCCTGTGGGATCTTCCCAGACTAGGGATCGAACCTGTTTCCCCTGCATTGGCGGGAGGATTCTCACTGGCTGTACCACCAGGGAAGTCCGCTCTGAATAATTTTTAAGCTATTTAAAATTTTATTTTACTTAATCTTTTTTTTTTTTTGGCTGTGCCATGCAACAAGCGGGATCTTAGTTCCCTAACCAGGGACTGAATCCGTGCACTGGAAACCTGGAGTCTTAACCATCGGACCACCAGGGAAGTCCTGGTTTGAATAGTTTTATTTGTCTGTCGAGTTGTCTGGCACCTAGCCTTGGGGTGATCCGGGCAGGGGAACACTGGCTCTGAGCACAGAGCAGGCAGGCCAGGTGGTGGCCCCACATGGGTGAGTTTGCCCTATAGGAAGGGGGCTCCCCTGGTGGCTCAGACCGGAAAGAGTCTGCCGGCAATGCTGGAGACCCGGGTTCGATCCCTGGGTTGGGAAGATCCCCTGGAGAAGGAAATGGCCACCCACTTCAGTATTCTTGCTTGGAGAATTCCATGGACAGTGGAGGCTGGCAGGCCATAGTCCACGGGTTGCAAAGAGTTGGATACGACTGAGTGACTAACACTGGACTGGCCCTACGTGCCTTTCCTAGAGATGCTTTCACCATCTCTAGGAACTGGCCAGCCCTGGAGGGTGGTCTCTTCAGGGTCAGCAATGCCCCAAGATGTCAAAGCATCAGAAATACAGAAAATCGGGACTCCCCTGATGGTACAGTGGATAAGAATCCACCTGCTAATGCAAGGGACACAGGTTCAATCCTTGGTCCGGGAAGATTTCACATGCCTCAGAGCAATGAAAATGCTGCACCACAGTGAACCCGTCCATGAGCCAGAATTACCGAATCCACGCTTAGAGCCTGTGCTCTGCAACAAGCATTGCCACTGCAATGAGACGCCTGGACACTGCAATGAAGAGTAGCCCCCACTCGCTGTGATTTGAGAATACTCTGTGCAGCCACAAAGACCAGTGCAACCAAAAAATAATAAGTAAATAAAATAGAAAATAAAATAAAAAGCATGAAAAAAAAGCAAATACAAAAAAATGCAAAAGCTCAGATGAGACACACGTTGGTGTAAGTTTCGGTTGCTGTTGTTTGATCTCGTCACACCTTCCAGCGGGTGAATTGGCCCTGAGACGTCTGTCTGTTCTCCCGTGGCTGGAGGCTGGGGTTGTCTGCAGGACTGGGCTCCTGCCAGTAAAGCTGCTGTGAACATCCATGCACACATCTTTGGCGAATGTCATTTCTGTTTCTTTGCCACATGTCCCCAGGAGTGAAAGCGCCCTCCACCTCATCATGATGGAGGTTGTGTTTTAGCAGAGTTTGCTAAACTGGCTGAACCAAGCTTTCCTCTTGTCGACACCTTCTTCTGTCTGAAAATTCATGTCTTTCCTTTGTTCTGGGGAAATTTATCACATGTTTGATGTGACTCATTCATTCTCTCATTTAACAAATTGTTATTAAGGTCATCTCCAGTGCTAGAAACTCTTTTGGGCATTAGGGGTGAAGAGGTGCACCCCAGGGAGCAAGACACTCTAAAGGAGGGAGCAGATAATAAGCAAATTAGCACATGGTGTAACAGTGTCAGGCTGGCAGAATTGTCCATACATATAATTACATTACCATTTCAGTGGGAGATTATTTCTTCGAAGAAGAAAAGGCAGAGGAAGAGTAAATGTCGCCTCTCCTTTCTCTCTCTCCTTCTAGAAATCTCATTAGAGGGATGTTGGGTTTCTATTCCTGCTCTTCATTCTCTTCTTTTACGTGCCTTCATTTCAGCAGAGGTTTCCCTCCCACAGGTGGCTGCGCTGTTTGGCATATGAGATTTTAGTTCCCCAGCCAGGGCTGGAACTCTGCAGCAGAAGCACAGATTCTTAACCACTGGCCTGTGGGGGAAGTACTGAGATTGGTTGCTGATTGTTTTTTCGTTTTAAAGAAGCAATTTGCACCTAGCCATCTGTGGTGTGTTTATTTAACAGGTTGGAATAGACCTTTATGTTTCCTGGGAGACGTTACTCTCATTCCTCAATCCGGTTCTTTTTTTCCCCCCTGGCTCTGTTTTCCCAGGTGTGAAGTTCCTCTCATTCTTGGGGTGAAAAGTGAAAGTGTTAGTTGCTCAGCCGAGTCGACTCTTTGTGACCCTATGGACTGTAGCCCAGGCTCCTCTGTCCATGGAATTCTCCAGGCAAGAATACCTGAGTGGGTAGTCATTCCCTTCTTTAGGGGATCTTCCTGCCCCAGGAATCTAACCTGGGTCTCCCGTATCACAGGCAGGTTCCTTGCCATCTAAGCTACCAGGAAAGCCCCTGGCTGCCCTTTTTTCATGGAGCGATTTCCCTCCGGTGTTGGCTGGCTCTGAGTCACCGGTTGCTAGACTGCTGGTTTTGGGGAGGGCTGGGAGGTGCAGTGTGGAATGCATTCCGGCCTGTTTTCTGCAAACATTGGGCAGGGGAGGACTTCTGCCGGGGCAGCAAGCACTATGTTAAGACTTCTGGGCGTAGCTGCTTCCCGCTCCTCACAGGCAGCTGAAGACACCAGAGCACCCTGCCAAGAGCCGCTGGGGGACCTCTTGGTCAGGATCCCTCCTGGGGATCAGTGAACCCCCCTACTGGGGCTGGCGCCCAGCTTAGAGGAAGTGAGGGCTGAAGGAGGTGCAGGAGTCATGGAAGAGGGGCTGGCCTTGTTGGCTTCCTTCAGTTACCACCCACAAAAGTCTCTGTTTTCCAATGCTGCTGGGGATTTAATGACAACAATTACATATATATGCATAAATATATGCATATGTATGTGTGTATCTGTATAGGTAGGTATGTATAGGTATATATATATATTTTATACACTTCACTTTTATTTTAATTAATTATTTAATTCCCCCCCCCCCCCCTGTGTGGCATGCAGTCTCTCAGTTCCCCGACCAGGGGCTGAACCTGTTTTCCCTGCGAAGGAAGAGACGAGTCCTAATCACTGGACACCAAGGAGGTCCCTACACTTCATTTTTAAATAAACTTTAACATCTGGTTTAGATTTACAGAAAACCTGTGAAGATAGTATTGATGGTTCCATAGCCTCTACACCCAATTCTCTTTATATCTATAAGATATTAACATAATCTAACGTATAAGAAAGATGAACATTTTTCATGTTAACATATTATCATCAACTTAAGTCCATACTTTATTCAGATTCCTTTAGTTTTTACCTAATTCCCATTTTCTGGTTCAGGATCCCACGTAGGACACCGCATTGCAAGCAGACATGCAGTTTCTTTCATTTCCAGGACCTGAGACGTGGTGGGGAGGCTAGGGCACGTGCTCTAAGTGGGTTCACCGTCTTGAAGCTGAGTCTCTGTGGGCCAAGCCAACTCGGGGAACTGGGGATTACTCAGGATTGGAAAAACCTGGTTTAAAATTCAACATTCAAAAATTGAAGATCATGTCATCTGGTCCCATCACTTCATCACAAATAGATGGGGAAAAAGCAGAAAGAGTGCTAGATTTTATATTCTTGGGCTCCAAAATCACTGCAGACCATGACTGCAGCCAGCCACGAAATTAAAGACGCTTGCTCCTTGGCAGAAAAGCTATACAAACCTAGACAACGTATTAAAAAGCAGAGACATCACTTTGCCAACAAAGATCCATATAATCAAAGCTATGGTTTTTCCAGTAGTCATGTATGGGTGTGAGAGCTGGACCATAAAGAAGGCTGAATGATGAAGAACTGTTACTTTTGTGGTGCTGGAGAAGACTCTTGAGAGTCCCTTGGACAGAAAGATCAAATCAGTTAATCCTAAAGGAAATCAACCCTGAATATTCATTGGAAGGACTGATGCTAAAGCTGAAGTTCCAATGCTTTGACCACCTGATGCGAAGAGGTGACTCACTGGAAAAGACGCTGATGCTGGGAAAGATTGAAGGCAAGAGGAGAAGGGGATGACAGAGGATGAGATGGTTGGATGGCATCACTGACTCAATAGACATGAGTTTGAAAAAGATGGTGAAGGACTGGGAAGCCTGGCGTGCTGTAGCCCATGGGGTCACAAAGAAATTGGACACAGAGAGTTGGACATGACTTAGCAACTGAACAACAACAGGATTGAAAGTCATGAACTTTTATTCTACTCCCAGGTCTCTCTCCAGTCTGTCCTTTGACTTGTCCCCTTTTTGGCCTCAATTTTCTCATCTGTAAAATGAAGCCATTGGACTAGTGTCAACTGGACAGGCAGAGTCCTGGGGTCCATCTGTGAGTGGTTTTCTGATCTCTGTCCTGGCAGTCATGGTGGTGCCCAGAGGGCAGAGCTGGGACCCAGATCTCACTGGTTGTAACATGGGTCTGACACTGATTTTGGGCTTTTAAATTCAAAGATCAGGGGCGTGTCCCAGCTTTCCTGCTTATTCTGAAAAGTGAAAGAAAGTAAGTGTTCATTGCTCACTGGTGTCCGAGTCTTTGCGATCCCCATGAACTGCAGCCCAGCAGACTACTCTGTCCATGGAATTGTCCAGGCCAGAACACTGGAGTGGGTTGCCATTCCCTTCTCCAGGGGATCTTCCCCACCCAGGGGTTGAACCTAGTCTTCTGCATTGCAGGAAGATCATCAGGGAAGCTTATTCTGAGGCCCTCTTTATCTCTGAGCCTTGGTTTACCCATCTGTAAAGTGGCTGCTGTTGGGATGACTGCTATGGCTCCCTCTGGCTGTGAGCAGAGCAGATTGCCCTGGGAGATGCTGAGCTCTCTGTTCCCAGAGGCGTGCAAGCGAAGAAGGTGACACTGTTGGATGGTGCGGGGGGGGGGGGGTGATGACCCAAGGCTCTAATCATGTCCCTTTTGGACAGGGAAGCCAGCCTCCGCACTGGCCCATTTTCCTACCCTTGACTCTGGGGCAGGTGGCTGGCTGTCACGGAGTGCCCACATAGTTGCTTCCCTTGTCATCTCATGCCAGGACTGCCTCTGGCCCTAGGCTGAGGGCCGTCTGCCAAATGTACCACACCCCTGGCCACAGACTTGCAGGAGACTGGGGGCGAGGCCCGCCATCATTTCCTGCCTGCCTTGTGGTACCTCTGACTTCCAGGTCAGTCTGCTTCCCCAGGCAGCTCCTGCAGGCCAGGCTCCAGTACACAGGGCACACCATGAAAAGCCCCAGAGGAGCGAGAGGAGGACAGGAGGGATCCCTGGGAAGGAGAAAAATGAGGAGCCCTGTGCCCCGGCTCCCCCCAAACCAGACTCCATTCTGACAAGGTTGGGGTTCTTCCAAGTCCCAGCCTTTGCATCTTCCATTGGCCCTACCGCCAATGCCCTTGGCCTTCTTTAGCTGTTGAACTCCTACTCACCCTTTGAGACCAAATACAAAAACCAGTGGACTGTGCCCTGGCTGCCCCTGGACCTACCTGTGTCCTGGCTGCCCCTGGATCTACCTGTGTCTCGGCACGTATCATCCTGAGTTGTAATCGGCCTCTTCGGTGCCCGTGTCCCTGGCCCTGGCTTTCCCTGAAGGCGGGGATGGGGCTGACTCACCTCCCCGAAGCTGCAGACGCCTCATCACCTGCCCTCTGATTGCCTGAAAGGAGTGGGTAGGGGCAGGGCGGATCACTGTGACGAACCGTTCCCGAACTCCTTCTGTTTTTGGTTTGTTTGTTTGTTTGTTTTGGCTGCAAGGCGGGGCATGCCGGCACGCGGGATTGCCTCCACGCCCCCTGCAGTGGAACCGCGGAGTCTTAACCCCTGGACCCTCCCCTCCTTTTCACCCGCACAACACAGCCTTCTAATCCCTACCCTCCAACCCCTGCCCCGGGCCGGGCGGCGGGGCGTAGGGGACGCTCCTCACTCGCGGGTCCGTCGGGGCAGGGGCGGCGGGAGCGCGAGTGGCTCTGGGTCACCGAGAGAACAGGCGCCCAGCCGCGATGGGGCCTCCGGGAAGCCGGGGGCACGGGCGTCCCCGCACACCCCGGGGTGCGGGGGTCCGGGGACTCTCCCGGGATCGCTCTAACAGCCCATTTTCCAACCCGAGGGAGCTGAGGCGCCGAGAGGCCCGGGGAGTCGCCTCCGCCCCACCCAAGGCCCCGCCCCTCCTGGTGGCCCAGGCGCCCCGGCCCCGCCCTAGGCCCCGCCCCCATCCTGGCCCCGCCCCCGAGCCCTGAACTGGTCCTCGCGCGGCGCACGACGACAGGTGCCGCGGAGCCGAGCCCTGCGCAGCAGCCGGGCGCTCAGAGCCGCGCTCCCAGCCCCACCATGGGCAACAGCGCGGGCCGCAGCGACTTCGAGTGGGTCTACACGGACCAGCCTCACACGCAGAGGCGCAAGGAGATGCTCGGTGAGCGCGGGCCCCAAGTGGGGACAGCCCTGAGGGCCGTGTGGTGTCCCGGGTCAGCCCGAACCCGGGGAGGCGTCGCTTCTGCGAGGCCCGGATGCCCAGCAGGCCTTCTCTGACCTCTGCTTCAGAGGTGGGAGATCCACTCCCCGTCCGGCAGCCTCCCCAACCCAGGGTCCCCCGCTCCGGTCTGGGACTCTCCTTCGCGTCTCTGTCTCTGTCCCGGGATCGAGGATCCGAGCCCAGATCCGTGCGTCGGGGGAGGGCGTCTCGGCTACTCCATCCCGGCTGTGGGACGGGAGACCCTCCCCGGACTCGAGGCGCACAGGTCAGCCCCAGGGACTGTCTTTGTGAGGGATGCGCCGCCCCCGCCCGCGAAGGCAGCTCCGTGGCCACCTGTTGTCCGCCGCACCCTGGGTTCCTCTGCGCAGAGCGTCGGCTGCCGGCGGCCCCGCCCGAGAGGCGCCAAGCCCAGCCCCAATACCCGGCTTTAGGGCAGAATGAACGCCTCGAAGGAAGACAACTTACTTAAAAACAAACAAACAACAAACAAAAGTTTACCAGAGTGTCCGTTTTTTTTTTTTTTTTGTAGCCCAATGTACGGTGGCCCCTTTTATGTAGTGTCCTGGAAAGTCATCTTTACTTACATGGTCACCCATCCTGTGGACTCACCCACCCTGCGGGCTCCATCAGTCTCTCAGAAGGACCCAGAGTATAGGGTTCCTTTACCCACGATTAGATGTTCAAGGACTTGCACCTCCAGGGCAGCTTCTGCTAGGTGCCACCAAGTCGCCTTTGCAGCCATATCGGTTTCCAGGTGAACACGGTGGCTCTCCCCATAGTCGGTCACCATTCACACCCTCACCCACACCTGAAGTTGGCAAGTCTTTAATCTTTGCCAAACAGGTTGACAAAACAATACTATTTCATTATGACTTTAATATTTAATTTGATTGCTTTCAATGTCTTATTGGCCATTTAAATTTGTGTTTTGCTTTCTCTTGGGTTGGTGTTTTGCTTGTTGGGTTGTTAGAACTCTTTGTATTGAGGTTTTTAACCCTTAGTCTTATACAATACATTGGAAATCTTCCCTTTATAATCACAGGAGCTTTTTTTTTTAATGCATTTGAATAGATTGGATCTTTTGTTTAGAATTTTCTCTTTTGTGGTTTCCTGCTCCACCCCAAGTCTAGGAAAGTATTCCTTTTAAACCTTTCAGACACAGAATGCAGAGTGGTTAATGCAGGGCTGTGCCCTACTGTTGCTGGGGTCCCAGGGCCTGGAGGCCCCTGGGTGGGTCTGTGGGTCTGTGGTTTTCCCTTGTAAGGTGAGCGATAACCCTGCACTGTGCGAGGCCCCAGTGGGGGTGGGGGGTGGGCAGCATTGTCTGTTGCACTTGCGAACTTCCTGCAGGTGGCTCAGAGGGTCCTGCAGGGCTGTGTTTCCTTCCCCCCCTGGGCTCTACCGCCGCCCACCCCCCTTACAGTGCGCACCTGGCCCCAGGTGGAGAAGGCTGGGGGATATAGCCTGGCCCACAGAGCTGCCTGGGGGGATGCAGACACTCTAGACTGCAGCCTTACTTCCCCAGTCTGCATAATGGGCACAGTCATCCTTTCTGGCAGAGTGGGTGTGAGGATAAAAGGAGATGTTGGGTGAGAAGGTGCTCCAGTGTGGTACCCAGCTTGCCAGGACGTGGAGAAGGATTCCTCTCTGAAGAGAGAAGCCACGGGCCCTGAAACCAATCCAGGAAGCATCCTGGAAACCCTGGAAGACCTGGAGGAAAGGGTGGCGACTTGGGCCAGGGCGGGGACAGCAGAAGTTCTCAAGGGCTGACTCTCCAGGGCACTTTGCAGATTCCCACTCTGCACTGGGTGCTGCGTGTTCCTCCCCACACAGCCAGTTTTGAGCTAAGGAACTTGGAACGTGTCCTCCTCCCTCCCTCCCAGGCATTGCGGTTCCTCCACCCTAGAGTCCTTCCTGCCTGCCCTACTCGCTCAAGCCCAGCTCTCTCCCTCCTGCAGGAACAGCCCCCTCCTGGCCTGGGTTGGGGGAAAGTGCTCCAGGGGAATTCCCCTTCCGGCCCATCAGGTCTTTACTTCTTGGAGGCAGGTTTCCAGACCTGGAAGCTTTGTAGACCTTGACTGTGAGCCAGAACCACACCCACTCATCAGCTTTGTGACCCTGGGCGAGTCAATAAGCAGATGAAGAAACTGAGGTCTGATTGAGTCAAACGGGTTAATTGTAGTTCTTTCTTTGTGGAGGTGTTGTGCAGGTTAAATGAGGTGGTGTTAAGTGTTTTGCCACCACTCAATCAATGTTAGCTGCTCTCTTGCAGAAAGGCTCCGTGATTTCCCCAAGGACGGGGAGTGAGTGCTCTTCCATCTCTGTTTTCCTGTTTTCTTCCATCTGCTGTTTCCCAGCCTGAGAAAACCCTACATGTAACTGTTGGCCTCTCTTTAGATGGGAGGCCCCAGAGTGGGGCTCAGAGAGGGGAAGTGACTTGCCTAGAGTCACACAGCTCAGAAGCCAAGTTGGTGTTCAGGCAGGGATGTGCCCCAGTGCTCCTAAAGAGCCTCACTACTTGGAGTCATGCGTACACGCTAAGTCACTTCAGTCTGTCTTTTTGCATCCCCATGGACTGCAGCCCGCCAGGCTCCTCGGTCCATGGGACTCTCCAGGCAAGAATGCTGGAGTGAGTTGCCATGCCCTCCTGCAGGGGATCTTCCTGACCCAGATGTCTCTCACATCTACTTGCACTGGCAGGCGGGTTCTTTACCACTAGCGCCACTAGGGAAGCTCAAT